TTAGAGATTGAAACTCCTGCCTGGCCTCTCTCTCCTGTGGGCACAGTGTTGTGCGGAGCGCTGCCCTCTCAATCCCATCATAGCCGCCGACCAGAAACGCTTCTCAGAGAAAATCTTTTCTAAAGAATAAGCAATAGAATATGGCCTTTGAATTCCCAAAGACTCGTATTTCTCAGATGATTCAACATCTGGATTTGGTTTATTCTCTCAGCAAATATTGATTGAGTGTCTACTATATGCGAGGCCCTGAGAAAATGCAGTGAATAAACAGAAGATCCTGTTGTCATGGAGCGTACGCTCCAGCCAGAGGAGACGGGCAATAACAAACAAGGATATAATGTGTGTCAGAGGTGATGAGTGCCAAGAGCAAAATTAAAGCAGGGAGAGAGGGTGCATAATGATGGGGGAGGGGCTGCAGTTCGAGATGGGGTGGTTAGAGTACAGGTAAACCGAGACCTAGAGGAGGAAGGAGATGTCTGGGCAGAGAGCCCTGCTGTATGCTTAGTTGCAGGCAGTCCCCTAACAGCCCACCCCAGCCAACCAGGGGGTGTGGTGTGGAGAGCATGTGCTTTGTAAATGCAAGCATCAACCCAACCAAGGAGGCTGTAACCCTGCAAACATTACGATAGGGAGTTTAGATCAGTGATTTCAACCGGTGTGCCACAAGAATTTTTTAAACATGCAATACCTGACTAGTTTGTCAGGGACACTGCCTTTTTCCATCTTAGATTGTCAAATTTAAAAATGACAGCAGCCAACACAACAATAGCTGTTTGGTGTAAATGCCCTGTTTTGAACTATAAATATATAGGTCATATAATAGAGTTGCATTTTATTGGTCTTGTTGCATAATAAGGTTGTATCTCATTGGTTAATTCTTAGTACCAGAAATCCTTGTATGTATACAAGTAAGGCACCTGACTTTTTTTTTTTTTTTTTTTATCCTCACCCGAGGATATTTTTCCATTTTTTGTACAGATAGAGTGGGAGGGAGAGAGAGGAAGGGAGAGAGAGAGAGAAACATCGACGTGAAGGGACACATCTAGTGGCTGCCACCCGCACGACCAACCAGGGCGGGGACAAACTGCAACCGAAGTACGTGCCCTTAGCGGGAATCGAACCCGGGTCTCTCCGGACCGCAGGCCGACGCTCTAACCGCTGAGCCAAACTGGCCAGGGCGGCACCTGACTTTTTTTTTTTTGTTAATTAATTTTTGTTACAGGTGTTTCTCGATTCCCCCCTCCCTCTCCCTCCCTGCCCTGTCCCCAGCTTTGTTGTCCATGTCCATTGTTCATGCATACATGCATATAAGTTCTGTGGTTTATCTCTCCCCCACCACCCCCTCTTCTGGGGATTGTCAGTCTGTACCCCACTTCCACGTCTCTGGGACTACCCCATTCCTCAGACTGTTATGTTCATTATATTCCACAAATAAGTGAGATCATATGATACTTGTCTTTCTCTGTTTGGCTTGTTTCACTTAGGATAATACTTTCCAGGTCCCTCCATGTTGTCTCAAAGGATAAAAGATCTTTCTTTCTTACAGCTGCGTAGTACTCCATTGTGTATATGTACCACAGCTTTTTTATCCATGCGTCTACTGATGGACACTTGGGCTGTTTCCAGATCTTAGCTATTGTAAATAGTGCTGCTACAAACATGGGGGTACATATATTCTTTCTGATTGGTGTTTCAGGCTTCTTAGAGTATATTCCTAGAAGTGGGATCACTGGGTCAAATGGAAGTTCAATTTTTAATTTTTTGAGGTAACACCATATTGTTTTCCATAGTGGCTGCACCAGTCTGCATTCCCACCAGCAGTATACTAGAGTCCCCTTTTCTCCACACCCTCGCCAACACTTGTTGTTTGATGATTTGTTGATGGCGGCCATTCTGACAGGTGTGAGGTGATACCTCATTGTTGTTTTAATTTGCATCTCTCTGATGATTAGTGATGTTGAGCATTTCTTCATATGTCTCTCAGCCCTTTGTATGTCCTGTTTGGAGAGGTGTCTATTTAGTTCCTCTGCCCATTTTTTAATTAGGTTCTTTGTCTTCCTTTTGTTGAGTTGTATGAGCACTCTATATATATTGGAAATTAACCCCTTATCTGATATATCATTGGCAATTATGCTCTCCCATACAGTGGGTAGTCTTTCCGTTTTGATGCTTGTATCTTTTGCTGTGCAGAAGTTTTTGAGTTTGATGTAGTTCCATGTGTTCATTTTCTCCTTTGTTTCTGTTGCCTTAGGTGATGTATCAGTGAAAATTCTGCTGCATATGATGTCTGAAATTTTGTTGCCTACAGTTTCTTCTAGGATTTTTATGGATTCATGAGTTACATTTAAGTCTTTTATCCATTTTGAGTTTATTCTTGTGTGTGGTATAAGTTGATGGTTTAGTTTCATTTTTCTGTATGTAGCTGTCCAATTTTCCCAACACCATTTATTAAAGAGGCTATCCTTACTCCACTGTATGCTCTTGCCACCTTTGTCAAATATTAATTGAGCATATTGCATTGGGTCCATTTCTGGGTTCTCTGTTCTGTTCCACTGGTCTATATGTCTGTTCTTGTGCCAGTACCAGGCAGCACCTGAGTTTTTAAAAAGTCACTTGGGAGCAAAAAGGGTAGGTAATTACTGTGTGTTTGTTTTTTTGTTTGTTTTTTAATCAATCTAAATTATACCCTTTTTTGTGTGTGTGTCAGATGGGCAAGAAACATTTTTTGGTGTGCTGCAGGATTTTAATAATTAGTTTTTGTGTGCCATGAGTTAAAAAAAAAAAAAAGGTTGAAAATCGCTGGCTTAGACAATAGCTATTAAAAATCAACTCTTCCATTATAATTGTAAGACAATTTTTGCAAGTGAGTTTAAAATAAAATAAAAAAACTTTCATTATTCAAAAATCCAGAATGGCAACCAGCTCTTAAAAATGACTAAAATGACCTACAAGTATTCTCTCTCTTTCTCTGTTTTTTAATGGAGACTTTAGTTCCCCTACTAAGACCATGTATTATATCTAGTTTCACATCAAAATGAATTTTTACTGTTAAGTTTGAAAACCACCTGAAAATAGCAATTAATATAGGAAAAGCTGACAGAACCTTAGTGTATTGGCATGATTGGTGCTGCTATAATTATGTGCCTGAGTGTGTACATGTGTCTGTAAACACAGTATGAAAACACACTTGATGTCCGGGACAGTGTATCAGTGTATTTTCTTGCAGGTAAATGAGGGGAAAAGAGTGACAGGGAGAGAGAATTGATAGAATTTTTATAGCACTATTAGGTGGTGTAGATGTTTCTAGTCTTACATCTATTTAACCTTGTTTTTCAAACTATTTTCACATTCATCACCTCATCTGATTCTCACAACGTGTGTGTGTTGAGGGGGCTGAGCAGGGGAGACTTTGTTCTTCCCATTTGCTGGATGAGAAAACTCAGTGTGTCAGCTTAGATGACTTGAATTTCATCTGCCAAATGAGATTAGACTGAACATCTTCAAGGTCCCTTCTAGCTCAACAGCTCTATGATTAGTTTTTTGATTTTCCTGAAGTGACACAACTCTTTAATCATTGGAGACCCCCTTTAAGTCCAAAAACCCTTTCTACCACACAGTTTTTCCCTGTGTTCATCAACCCCTTTGTTGCATGTTTAACTGTAGCATGTAATATCTCCCATACCAGGTTGTTGAGAGAAGTGTTGAGGGGATTAAAGTAGAGATGGAAGCATCTAGCACAGGGGTAGCTATTATTATTATCGTCCCCACTATTACCAGTGAGACAGTATGGTGTGCAGGAAAGAGAATTGGCATTGGACTCAGATAAGTTTCCAATAATTTACCAGTTGTGTCATCTTGGTCAATTATTCGACCTTTCTGAGCATCCTGTAAAATGGAGCTGATATTCCCTACACTTTTGAAGGAAACAATGAATAGAGAGCCCCTCTCCCAGTGTCTGACATGTACCACATGCTCAGTAAATAAGTGGGCAGGTGTGAATGATAAACCACCTTTCATAAGAAAGTAGGAAATATTTTCATGCTTCCCTCAAAAGCTGAAGTGGCATTTCATCAAGGTGAAGTGTAACCTTGAAATTAACAGAAGCATACAGTCATCTTTTAAACAAATAAAGAAGATTCTGAAGCTCAGCCATTCTGTGCACAAGAGGGAGAGGAAATATCCACACGTACCCAGTGGTTAGCACAGGATGACTGTGAGTTTCACATTGGACGGTCTTCTGAAATCCAGGGTATGTTGTGTCCAAGTCCTCCCGTTCGCCCCACTGCAGCGGTCGAATGAGGTTGTGCAATTTATTTAGAAAAGCCTGTTTGCCCTCATTATACCACTTTCTCTGAAAAGCAGTCATCTGAGTACTGTGAGGAGCTGCTTTGCTGTAATGATGACCACTTTGAAGGATTCAGTGAAGTTTGGAAACCAAGATCCTTGTAGCCGTGTGTCTGACAGCGTGGTCACAGAAAAGGCTGGTGGCAGGACTGAAATGTGAAAATTCTCCAGTAGGGGTTGTGGTTACTTGTCTCCATGGAGGAGTCCTTGGTACTGAATTTTCAGGGCACAATAAACTAACATTTATAGGCGTCTGTTGCCACGTGCTCTGGAGCTGTGTTGGCAGCTGCTAGCGAGTCGCAAGGTGGGTGGCACTGCCCTGGCTGGATCAGTTACTCTGAAATCTAGTGCTTTTGTTTAAAGCACTGGACCCAAAAAAAGGTGTGTATTGTACAGAATACCAACCTTGAGGCACATTTTGTTTATTACATATGTTGTTTGAAAAACCACTGGTCATTTGAATAGGAAATTTTTTTTATTTGATATATATCTATCCGTGAAATTATTCTCATTGTGAATGCCCATCCTGTGTAGACGTCTCAAGAACAATTGAGTTTTCTACCTGAGAGCAGTATGTTAAATGCTTTGACCAATGTCTGTTATGTTTGGTTACCTTCCAGTTTTAAAATGTGTAAATTTCCTTTTTAATGTTCTAGGGGAAAGCAATGGTATTTGCCCCACGCCGAGGGACTACTTTAAACCATTTTTGCAATCTAGCTGAAAAAGCTGGTTTCTCTATCCAAAGACATGAAAATTATGATGAGCACATTTCAAACTTCCACTCCAAGGTTAGTTTTCTGCTTGTGTTAGATAACACTTTAATCCGCATTGCATTTTGAAGAGATCATGGTCTTTTTGGCAGGTAACCTAAATATTTGATTAAAGTACTTCTTAGGTGTGCTGCTTCTGAACAGCTATTTGTATCTGATTATTTTGTGTGGTAAAGCCATCTTTTATCTTTGCATGTCTAGAAGGATTTTACAGAAACCATTCCTGTTTACTCCTTTCTCTGAAACAAAGTTATCTTTTCATTTATAATAGACTAATTTGTAGGATGCTGGGAGGTGGCATAGAATGAATGATAAACAAGCGTTTATATTTTAATGAAAAAGCTTCAGCTTTTAAGTAGGTTAAATGCTTAGCTGCACTGAAATAAATAGAAGATGAATGTCTAATTGTATCATGTTGGACTGTAAATCTTTATCTCTGCTTGCTTTATGGCTGGGTCAGTTGGCAGTTTGAGACTGTTAAATCTCCTACAGAATTTCACAGTTGTGGGGTTATATGTCAGAGCGAGGCGCTACAAGATTTAGGTCAAAAGCACTTATCTGAGAGTGATTTTTAAGCTTGCTTACATAAAGCAATGTTATCAGTCTTTTTATTATTTATGGGTATACAGCAATATGGGACACTGAGAGGCAAACATTTTTCCAGAAACTTTAGGAATCTCACATTTGTTAGTACATGTCACATAGTAGCATAACATGTATTACTTATATAATTTTACTCCGTACAGAAATCTCCCTTCTCTGAGCTAGTCTGACCTTGGTAAGAGCCTTTGACTTGTCATCATTTTGCAAGTTGTGACTGCAGAAAAATAAAGGCCTGACCTTAATTTTCTCCTATAAAAATATTGATAGCATTCTTTATTACCCAGAACTTTGATATAATATAGAAGTGTATTGACTTTTGAAAAAATATATACAAAGTGGATCTGATCTTCCCAGCAAAAGAAGGGGAATCCTCACTTTCTGGAAATGAGTTCACCTCGTTGGGTCTCCTAAGGGCTCCATTCAGTCCCTGGAAAAGAAATGATGCTTTGTGACCTGAAGGGGTTAAATCCCTCCCTCTCCCTGATGGAATTGGTCCTTTTGCTTGCAGTCAGGAAATAAAAACAGAATGGCATGTAATTCAAATCTTACCTGACTCTCTAGAGTGATGTTTTCCTTTTACAAACCCTCCCCAGAGCAGAGAGAATGGTCCTGGAGGCTTTACCTGGTGGGGGAAGGGTCTCTCCTCCCTCCAAAGGAATAAAATCTGCCTTCTGTCCAGGGTAGGACTAGATCTACAGGGGTCAGATAACGGCTGCCTCAATGTCATTGTCATTCACTCCCCCCTCCCCCCAACAACAAATGGGAGCAAGGGCTTGGTTGGGTTTCTCCACCAGCAGACGGAGAGAGAAGAGAGAAGTAAGCGTTGTGCCGGATACCTTCCATCAGCTCTTCCCTCGCCTCCCTGCAAGACCTTAACCGTGTTGGAGCCTGGGAGATATTTGGAGCCTGGGACGTATTTGAGGCCTTGGTGGCCACCTTTCCTTTGTCTAGAACTTTAGATCGTCAGCAGCTAGTGGACAGCAACTTCCTCTTTTCCCAGCCTTGTACACTGTTCTGCAAAACATAGCAATTCCATAAATCACTCAACATGCCTCTTACATTTACATAGATATATTTATGTTTACACCCACATTTAGTACTCCATAAATAACCATGGACTAATTGGTCCCACAAAAATAAATGTTCATAAATAAATGGCCTTTGTTTTTCTCTCTTCATAATTGCTTAAAAGTTGAATTCCCCACCTTTCGGACATTGGGCTAAGAAACAATTCCCTTCCTCTTTTGGTTATGGTGAGGAGTGAAAGTTGCATTTTGTCCTCAGGAAGTAGCACCCTAGGGGAATATTCTGGGGAGTTGGGGCGCCCTAGGTAAAGGCTACAAACGTGCACCCACGATGTTGATTTTCAGCGATGAGTTTGATGGTTGCTGGTTTGGTGGTTGTACTTCTAGCAAGAGAATGCTTCTTGTCCCTTCTGTACCAGAAGGTAGAACGCTCAGCTTTCCTGCTCCAGAAGCGTGTGCCCGTGTGCAGACTGAACTGAGCCAGGTCCCGATGACCCACCTCCAGCACGCGGAAGAGGAAGGTGCAGGGACAGGGTCTCGCCCAGATGTCCGACCCGGAGCCGCGGGCCAAGCAGGGGGCAGTGGGGAGCGTCCCTGCCCCCTCGCCGAGCCCCAGTGCTCCTCACCCAGGCGAGGGGGCGGCTCCGAAGCCAGCACCCCGGTCCTCTCGGGTCCCTGCCCACCTCCCGCTCGCCTGCCCCGGGCTCGGGGACGCGCAGGGGCCCGCGCGGCTGCCGGGAACCTCCACCCTGGCCGCT